CCAGTGAATTTTGAAATGACTTTGAATTCAGGACCTTGCTTTAAGAGCCAAGTTGTCGAGTGCTTCTCTTGTATTGGACAAGCATTTACAACCAACGCAGCTCCACATTCTTCCTCGAAYTTTCAAGTGATTGTAATCTGTTATTCAAGTAATTCAAAACCWAACCTAACACAGCCCTTGTTTGATGTGACCTCAAAGGAGTTTACTTCAAGGCTAACCCTTGACTGGAAATTCACTTGTGTTGACAACAGGATAATGTTAGTCTTAGGCTATCAGCCATCAGAGCTTGTAAATAAATCCATATATGCATTTATTCATCATGAGGATCTGGTAAATATCAAGACCTATCATGAAATGCTTGTCCGCAAAGGGCGTATCAATACATGCTACTATAGATTCCTAACAAAAGGAGAGGTATGGGTCTGGTTAAGAAGCTGCTGTCACATTTCTTATAACCAGTGGAACTCTAAGCCAGAGTATGTTACAGTTAAATCCAATCCAGTTCACTATGAAGAGGTCTTCTCCAATCAGGAAGTCCTTGTCAAGAATGATCGTCTTCATTTTCAGAGTATAACTCGAGACTTTCGATCTGAGAGCTGTATTAAGATTCACTCAAAGAGGGCTGATTCCCCTCTCAGTTTTGCATGCTCTGAGAAATCCAAGGATCAAGCCRAAGTGGAAAACACTAATATTYTAAACATGTTTTCACATGCCAGAACAAGTGATAAAATGGACAAAGGAAAGGAGACTGCTTCTAAAGGCACTGAAAGCTCAGTATTTAACTCTTTCCCAGCTCCWGATGGRCTGTCGCCTGCCCAGTACAAGCTGCATGTTCAGTTACAAGGGAAGCAYCAATTACTTGAGAATTCCATYAAGAATCAAATTACAGAGCTTAACAAAATTAAACGTCAAATTGACATCAATCGACAGTTGTGGGAATTTAACAGGCAACTTCAAGAGAAAAAGGCCCAAAAACTTGGAAAAGGTAGTTCTTTGACGTCAAGTCGTGCGTCATTCAGTGAAAGTGATAAAGTTAGTACTTACACTGTYGATGAAGAAATGGAGATGTCAAATGGGGCAATATTAAACAGTCCTGCAAATATGACATTTCCTGAAAGTGCTTACTTGACTATAGATGATTTCAATGAAGATTTAGAACCTCCAAGCATCTCTACTTCCTTGGAAACAACTTCACAATTGTTTGCTCCACCACAGCCTTACAACTATTTTAAATTCTAGTTCTTAACTTCTGTAYTGTAGGCACAATCCTCAAGAGTGATTTCAACACTTCTAAATTATTGGATTTATATACAGCAATATGCAGAAATTATGATCATTTTGACTCATATTCCAAGTGCAATTATGGGAAATTATGTGAAATTATGGGATATCATCTCCAATATTTTTTTCAGAAAGTGCTAGTGCTACTAAGGCAAATTAAAAAAATATCAGTGTCAGATGATATCCCATGATTTCTGATATACAGTTTGTACAGTATTTTATACAATCATGTACTTGGAATACGAATCAAACTGATCWTAATTACTGCATATTGCTGTATTATTATAATTATTGAATATAAGTTATAATCCTGAAAGCTAAACTGCAAATAGTTACTATTTTTCAGTGAACTATAAATTGATTCATAGCTGAAATATCTGAGCTTTTAGGCCGAGTATATTTATACAATAGCATCCCTTGGTGACTTGACTTTGTTTAATTTGAATTTGAGGCAACTTACAAGGATTTGTCTCCATGGTTACCCAACCAAAAAAGGAAACACTACTGTTAATGGCACTATAGACTGCACTAGAGCAATTTCAGATTGTGAAGCAATATTTCAGTGTTYGGTCTAAAAGTCATAATACAGTATTTACCTGCTTATAATAACCCATTATTTCAAATAACTCATTATTTCAAATTTAGCCTAAACAGGTTCTTATGTAAATGGTRCTTGGTGGAATTTAAGGCTACGCAGGTTCTTAWATAGGTTCWTATTTATCCCTTATGTATGAGGTTAATTTCTATATTAAGAACCTAACCTGTTTCAAATTTTAGGCTAAATAATTTCTTATGTAAATGGGTCTAATTGATATTTTTAGGCAAACAGGTTCTTAAATTGCAGGTTCTTAGAGCGGATTTCGTATGAGTGGGAAACGGACGGTACTGTACTGTGACCGTAATCGTACTGTAACCAAATTCTAGTGCCCCATTGGTTCACCAAAATTCTGCAGGCCAGGTGCGGTAACTGTGCGGTAACCGTGCGGTAACGGTGTCCCACTCATACGAAATCCGCTCTATAAGCAGGTACATGTAAGTACTATATGCCAACAAATTGCTCCATGATAGACCCGGAATCTGGAGAATTCCGAGACTGCGCTTTCCACAAAATGTTTGATTCTGGATTTCACCATATTGATTTAAAATGCAAGGCATCAGTTGTTTAAGGGACTCGTTTACAATAAGAAAAAGTTTGAAGTTACTAATTTGGTAATTTGGATTCTGTTTCCATTGTCAAAGAATCAAGACTCCAAGTGTCTGAAGTCAAAATTTTATAGTATTCCATATTCCTTGCCATGGCTGTGGGACAAAGCAAAAAATGCATTCGACAAGTATTTTATAATGCGCTTATGAAATACTATTAGCTTAGTAAATATTCCACAATTCAGTGAAAAGTACTCGACTAGTTTTATTTACAATCAGAGTTTTATTATGTTTTTTCAGTAATATGCACTATTTATAAAAGAGGATCTTTCACTCAATGGCTGCTTCATAATACAGCCAATCTTGGTAAGGTTGTCCATGTAATATGACTTTTCCAATCTTCCAATTGTCATGTGACTTATGAAAATATTATATTCATGTAAATATTGGTTTGGAATGTGAGATGTGTTAAGTTTTAGTGAAGAAATGAAAATTCTATAATATGGACAACAGAGAATTTTCCACTGTACAGAAATTGAAAGTATCAATTATCTATGAATACCTATAGATCTCCATTTCGTAAAATTGATATTTTCACTAGTGAAAATAAAAAAAAATCAAGGTTTCTCTATAGTAAAAGCAAGAAAAAAAAGTGGCATGATTTGCTTTCATATGTAATTATATGATAAACAGAATATTACATGGTCGCTTGGAGATGCAAATTTTATCTTCTCGTGTTGAAAATCTCTCGCTTGTTCGCTACGCTCACTCATGAGAGATCTTTTCAACACTTGAAGATAAAATTCATATCTCCAAGCAACCAACGTAATATCCTCTATATCTCCAAGCTGTGATTATTTGAAACATTGGAAATTTCTTTTTAGGTGAACCTTTTCAAGATTGTCTGCATTTCCTTTTTTTTTCAAGAAAGACATTCAACACTTCTTAGTCTAGAACCAGACATAATAAAAAACAGAAAAATATTATAATAATAGTGATAAGAATTCTGATAAACATTTTTTTCACGACTGAATTGTTGAATTGCTACTAATAATGTACTTAATATCATGCACTACAACAACTCTTCCAGGACGAATTTGCCATTATTAAATGGAAATGAAAAAACACTGAGTCTAATATCTTTTAACTTATGGTACTGTAAAAATTTATAAACATAATTTGATATTTTTGTTTTCATGTAGCTCTACAGGTAACCCAACAAGTGAATTTGAATTTTAATGTTTTGACTTTAAATGTTRGCACAACGTTTTAAGAAAACAAAATATTCAGTGTAGACATAGCATAGGGAGCCCACATTCATTATCAAGAGATTGTTTGACCTCATGGAAAAGTAGGTGCATCTATGTCGAATGGTTTTTTTTTTTCCTGTCCAAGCAGGATTCCTTAAGCACCATCTCAGGTTACGGCTTATCATGATAACAACACAAGCTATAGGATATCTGTACCTTTCAATGAGGTCAAGCAATTTTGTGGCTAATTATAGCTCATTTTGAGATCGTGATATGAGTAACGAATGTGGGCTGAGCTCCCCATACTTTAGATTCAAATATAGACCTGTGYTTGAGCTACTTGTGGTTTGGCCTGAAAAGCATGTAAGAAAAACAGTGCAACATTTGGGTTGATCAACAGGCCTGTGTGTAGCTTAACCAAAACTCTTATGTTTGTGTTATGATAGCTTTTTGTGTGCAATTTATTTTTTGTTTTCAAAAGGTAGCACAATAAAACTTAAGTGAAGTGAAGTGTGCCAGAACTAGGTTCTTTGCTCTCATTGCCTCAGTTTAGTTTTGAATGCTGACAAGCACGCAAATTTGAYATCATTTGACACCAAACTTGTGCTAGTCAGACTTGAAAAGCAATAACATTACAAAATTGCTTCATACAGACATGATTACTTACGACTGAAATGGAGACTCTCAAAGTGATATTTAAAATATGCATAACTACCTTAACACAGAAATATTTCACATTACGTATTTAGACAATAGAGTGCACATGTACAGACTCAACAGAAAACATATAAAAAAAATCAATGAAAGAATTGATATTTTATTTTGTATTTGTTTTTCAATTTACTGCAAGATGTTGATAAAGCCATTACRTGTAGGTACACAGGGAGCCCAAACATTAAATGAGAAYCCTGCATCGGTATAAAATATTTTTATGATATTCCTTGCCAAAGAATCWWGAGTATACTCGCAGCAAGTCTATACTGGAATCATCCAGAAGCCATACAGCCTTTCGTCTTTGTCAGAGTTGTGCCATGTCCAGACTTTTCTTGGTCTTGATCAAGACCAATCAAGCCCACTCCAAATCTGGATATGGCAAAAATCTTTAACCGTTTTTAAGAGTGCACTTTTACTTCACTAAAAGCTCAAAATTTCCTGTAAAATATGTACAATCTGGATTCTTCAGAAACTTATGTCATTCTGTTGACTGTCGGCTGATTCTGCATATCAGCATCATTGCAAAAGTCATTGCAGATATCTGAAATATAAAGTGTCATACGTATAGTTTAAAACACGAGAGAGAGAGNAATTAGGTTCTACATTTTATCTGTTATTTCAATGGAAAAACAATATTATTTTAAAATCACTCACAAATCTAGACTATAGACTTCTAAATGGTTCCCTTCGCCATCTTGAAAGGTAGCCATGCCTCAGCATCGAAGTGAGACGACCATTGAGCGTGCAATGTTAAAAACCTTCTTTCGCACCTATAGACCATTATTCACAGGCAATTAATCGACAACCATTGAGCGGCAATGATAGATATACCTGTGAACAATTGTCTGTAGATGTGAAAAAAGGTGTTTATCATTACATGCTTAACGGTTGTCTCGCTTTGATGTAAAGGCACCATGCCTTTCAAGAAGTCGCAGGGAACCGTGAAGGAAACAATTGAAAAGGAATTATTTAGTTGCAGTTGTAGAACCTTCCATTCATTTATATAACAGACTGAACTTTCATTCTATTGAGATATTTTTAATCATTATAATTGTAGAGTGATATTTGCTTGTCAAGTCTTACCTCTACATAGATGTTACTCTTGTTAAATGATTGTCCACAACCAGAGGTTTGTGTAATACAGCAACTATCAGGTACAATAGASCTATTGCCTTTAGAATACACGCTCATCCTCCAGTCAGTATAGCTATTGACACCACAGCATTGCTCCTACAATAAGATAACATAACTCAGGCATTTCAATTTGACCCCACTTTGCTCACATTCTGGAACCCAGATCCTTCTCAGTTTTCCAACAGAAAATCGAAGCCTCTGGTAGGAGACACCACAAGTCAGAGTATGTGGGTCATACAATACACTAATAGGTATACTGAAGGCACATGGGAATCTCTTAACCAATCAAATCAAAGATTCATTTGCCCCAATCCATGCCTTTGATTTTCCATTGAGAAACTGAGTAGGATCTGTGATCAAGAATGCATGACTGTACTCTTAGGTATTTTGAATAAAGGATTCCATGTCCAACGACTCTAGCCCCACAAACAGTCTCCTCTGCCACCCCTCCCCCCTTAGGCTTCCTGGAAGGGCCAGGTGAAGTAGATATTGCAAGGAACAGGTTTTCTTACCTTTTCCTGTAGAATATCGTAAGCTGTTGTCACATGGACATCCTGTCCATACGTCAATAAAGAGGCATTGAGATCTTCCTTCAGCCTTGTTTCAATCTATAAAATTTATTCACAAATAAATAATTAATATTTTCTTCAGAGCAGTGATTTCATGACCGAATGTCATTTTGGACATTCACTTAATGACATTAGTTGTGCATTAACTTTTCTCCTTGACAACCTTTTATTGAAATAGCTTATTATTCATTACCTAACAGGGTATACA